AGAACATATCAAACAATTATCAATTTAAATACATTAAGTTACAGTACTGAAGCAGGACATTGATTTAATGTTAGACAAACCTAACCTAAACCAAGTAGATAAATATAGAGAATCGTAATTCGTTTTAATTGCGCCGCATTCTTCTCCCTTTTTTGGCCTTTAGAGCGACTCTTACGCGTCAGAAATAATACTGCAGGAAGTGTGTCCGGCACTTTGTCGCACAATCTGTTAATTCCCCGGCGCGTTGCCTGAAAAGTGAAGTAGCAGTACCGTTATCGCAAGGCCACGGCGGAGGGATCGTTGTTTCGATTGATTCAAGCTGACAAAGAGCGTGAACGAGGAGGAGGATGGGGTAAAAGAAAAAGAGAGAGAGAGAGAGAGAGAGAGGGAGAGAAGACGAAGGCGCGACGAAGAAAGAGATTGAAGAAAAGAAAGAAGAACGTACAGGTTAAATCCGCGCAAAGTCTCTCCTCTAAATCCATATAAGAGGTTATACCGTTCTTTCATTCTCATAATGCAGAGAAGACACCATCGTGCTAAGTGTATTAAAACAAAGGGCTCTCGTATTTTCGTTTGTCCGCGTGTAAAAACGATTTCTTTTTTCGTCTAATTTTTTTAATACGCAATGTAAACGAGATTAGAATTACACTCGTCATTCATATTAATGAACAATGATACATTTTTTTCTAAGGCCTTGAACTCACTTCGAGATTTTAACGACCTAATCAACGAATAACTTTGTCTATGCTCGATATATATATATTGATTGAAATTTCTTCCTCTTTCGAAGATCGCTTCAAGGACAGTTCACGTCAACGGTACAAACGAAATGTTACGCTTTTGTTTCAGTACCCTTAGCGCACATAGATAGGAGAATATAACAGAATGCAATTATACATATTTAAGAACCGGGCAAACAATCCTCGACCGCGTCGAGTATCTTCGACTTTGAAACGATCTTCCGATTGTTTCTCTATCGATATATACGTGCATACGAAATTAACGAGATCGCCGTATTCTTTTTATCTTATTCAATCGTTTAGAACTTTTTTTTTTTTTTTAAATTCCTTAATGCCAAGTTTTATTTATTTTAAAGTAAATTAAGTAAATTAATATACAACGATAAAATTCACTGTTTTTTATTTATCATTATTATTATTATATTGTAATATTGTTACTACTATAATATTATCTTCTAAAGTGTGATAATTTTTGAAACGATTTTTAAACCGAAAAATATCTTCCTTTTCCTTTCTTCTCCCCTCTGCAACGTTAATTTTTCCCTGAAATTTAGATCGCGCGACAGTCGCTCGAAAGGAGAGGGAAAAAAATCGCCATAGAAACAGGTTGGGAATGTGGCGAACGGTATAAGAGGGGAAGAGAGAGAGAGAAAGAGAGAGAGACAGGGAAGACCGGCCCGTGCTTCCTCGATCCTTCTAAAGAAGAGTTCTTTCTTTAGGTACATCATAATAAAGATCTTGTCTCTTTTCTTTGTTTGAACGTACATCAGCACGTGGCGTAGCCTCTGTCGCTCGATATGGAGATGTGTAACGTCAATGCTATTGCGCTTCGAAATGTGCGTTGAAGCGAGTTACTCGCGCGCTTGCATCTCTTTCCCCGCTTTTCTCTTTATCCTTATGTTTGTACGCGGCAATTGTACCGAGATCTTTCTTCCTTTTTCTTCTCCCCCCCCCTCTTTTTTTCTTTTCTCTCTCAACTGTTGATTCTCTGTATACTTAATGGCGAGCCATAACGCGCAGTTAACGCGCCCGGAGTCAGAGCACGCACGTTATTTAACAGGTCGTTATAAATAACTCGGAACTGATAGTTGCGGAATAAATATACACGGATAGCGAGTAAATAGATGTGTGTAGTAGTAGAGCACACGCGGGGCGTGAACGAGAACGGGACGGATTCCGAGGAGAGGATGCGCAGGAGCCAATTTGTTTGTTTTATTTTTAATCCCCAACGTAATTTTAGCTCTCTCTCTCTCTCTCTCTCGCACGTGACTAGTGTTTTATTTACTCCGCTATGCGATGATTACGTTTTAATTTGAGAACGGCTTTCGAAACTTCGAATTCTTATCCAAGGAAGGTTAGTTAATTAGTTAATCAAAGAAACGGAGCTGAACGTGTATTTTTTATGTTAGTAAAAATCATGTGTGTTTTTCAGACTCGATAAAGAGTCCGACACCGGCCAGACGAACATTGCGAGCGTCGGTCCGCAGGGACCGACACCCCGCCGTTCGTTCGATCGGTGTCGGTCCGTGGGGACCGACGCCCCCTCTTTTTTTGTTTCGTTTTCAATGGATTTCCGACGATCTTTAAACAGAGATCGCGGTTCGCTCGTGGCGCAGAGATCGGTGATATCGCGTTGCGTTGGATCACGCGGCTGGAGATCGCCGAGCCAGCAGTGGCGTACGACGGCGTTGCGGTGTGTCGTCATCGTAGGCGTTGTACACACGTAATTCGAAGTTGCACAACGAACAAGTTGTGCCAGATGCGTAACAAGATTCGTGACAAATCGCCGTTATAACCAGAGATGGGATAGAAAGAACGACGACGAATGTATAACGGCAATAACCGTTGATTAATAATAATAATAATAATAATAATGGTGTTCGTTTGTTGACAGGTGTCCCCGAACCGGCGCTGTCTGAACCAGCTCAACAGCTGATCGGAGTACGAAGCGGCGGTGAACGGGGCCACTATTGCACCACCACCCCGCGATTGGAAAAAACTCGATATACTAATCAGTTGTTGGTTAACGGCCAAAGGAACGTTCCCACGAGGAAGGAGGCGAGAGGACGAGGAGGAGGGGGAAGAGGGCGAGGAACGAGTGGCGTCTTCTCGACACTTGATAAGAAAAAGAAGAAGAAAGGGAGGGAAAGAAATTAACGACGACGACGACGAAGACAACCGCGACGACGACGACGAC